TGGGGTGGAAGTACTCCATCCTGAAAAGAAGGGACAGCAACCCAGTGCAGACACGAAAGGTGCCCTTTTGGGGGGCCCTAATAAGAAGTCCAAATGTAGCAAAAAGCAGCAGATGCTCACAGAAGCAGCTAAAAAAGATTCACAGGATATTTCCAAATTCTTCTCCCTCCCCAAAGGTGGGTCTAAGGCCAAAAGCTGCAGCTCAGCAAAGGAAAGTGGCTGTTCTGCAAGTACACTACCTCAGGTTTCTTCTCAAAGCATTTGTCAAGAGAAACCAGTACCTCAGGAAAACAAAGATGTCTCTGGAGAAGATGTGATTGGACAACCCCAGGCAGAGGATGAAGAACTGGAAGAGACACAGGTAGCACTGACTGAGAGAGAACAGGATTTCAAAACCCATGAGGCTGCTGAATCTGAGCTCCTTCAGGAAGAAACTGATGTGAAATCCAGGTAACATCTCTACTTCTATGCTCCTTGTTGTTGGCCTGTTAATAAGCTGCAGAGCCCTACGAACCCTGTGCTGTCTGTAGGTCTTGAGGCTGGTGAGGAAGACTCTTGCTTTACCATGGAGAGTCTTATGGCCACCAACAGCAAATGCAGTCATATGTTCACTGTGGAATGATTAAAATTGTCCTTCTCTCCACTCTTCCCACTAGTGCTGATGAAAATGTCACAGAAACTGAGCTAACTTTTGCTGAGGAAGGTGAGAGTAGGAAGCGACCAGGATCAGATGAGGTAAGACTTTAATGGGTGCTAATTTCCTTAATTTTTTCTGCCTACCTGGTGCCAAGTTTCTCTCTGGGAGTCATAGAATCACAGTCTCCAAGACTGGTTTGGGTTGGAAGGGACCTTAAAGCTCCTCCAGTTCCAACCCCTGCCACAGGCAGGGACCCCTTCCACTAGAGCAGCTTGCTCCAAGCCCCTGTGTCCAACCTGGCCTTGAGCACTGCCAGGGATGGGGCAGCCACAGCTTCTCTGGGCACCCTGTGCCAGCGCCTCAGCACCCTCACAGGGAAGAGCTTCTGCCTAAGAGCTCAGCTCAGTCTCCCCTCGGGCAGGTTCAAGCCATTCCCTTTGGCCTGTCCCTCCATCCCTTGTCCCAAGGCCCTCCCCAGTTTTCTTGTAGCCCCTTTAGGCACTGGAGCTGCACTAAGGTCTCCCCTTCAGGAGCCTTCTCTTCTCCAGGCTGCCCCAGCCCAGCTCTCTCAGCCTGGCTCCAGAGCAGACGTGCTCTAGCAAGCTGCTTTGTCAAATCAAAGGAACAACCCCATGCCAGTGACACATAGGACCACTCAGAAGTGAACCATGCTCACAGCCTTCCTTGCATTCAGTCTCTGGTTCTGCATTTGGCATCTGAGAATGCCTCAGACTGAACAGGAGTGTGGCACTCCTGAGGTGGTTGGCTCTTCCCACAGGGTGTATTTTCAGCAGACATCCTGGGAATTTTTTTCCTGTCCATTTTTCCCGTGTAGGACAGGTCTAGCAGTGAGCTCCATAATAAGAGCACAGGGTACTTCTAAGGGTTTTTCTCAAAGTCCCTTTGTGTGAGAAATAGTGTATCATGTCTGTGCGGCAAAATGGGTTACAGAGATACCTGCATGGTATTCACTGTAGGGAGAGGCAGCAGGATGCTGCTGTTCTCAGCAGGTAGTGGCTGCTTGGAAATGTAATGCTGCCACAGGAATTCATGGGTTTGGCTTTCTTCTATCCCATCTCCAGGATATGGAAATTCCTGCAACAAAGCTGCTACGGATAGCTGCAAAATCTTCAATTCTGTCCCAGCCAGAAAGCAGAAGTGTTGGCCTAACAAAGAAGAAGGTGACTTTTGATCCAAACTTATTACAGTGTGATAAAGAAGGAACCAGCAGGACCATACAGGCAGTGACCAAGGCCATGTCCCTCAAAGAGACAGCAGACATCGTCGTCAAATATTTGACCCCATTCTACAAGGATGGCAAATTTGCTTCCAAGGTAGGGCACAGCTCAAGACCCTCTTTAGCAGAAGGAGGCTGCATCTCCCTAGTGATCTGGGGCTCTAGGAAGGGGAAGATGATCTAAACACCATGTTTCATTTCCAAATCACATCTTGGCATGTGTTTCCACGAATGCAGCAACTCACCCCAAGAAAGGGTTTGTGTGGGATTTAGAGTGGTATCATAGTGGTTCCACACCTGGTTTTGATTGTTTATGTTTTCACTCTAAACTTTGGCCTGTTTTCAAGAGCTCTGAGCTGTGAAGGGGCAAGAGATCAAGGTCAGTTCTGGTGTAGTTTATTTGATGTGTTAGGGGAGGCAGCATGTGTGTCCATGTGCTTCTCCAGCACTGCAGGGTCAGGTATGTTTGCAGCACTCCTGTAGTGTTAATCTCTGAGTGGTTTCTGCTAACAGCCAGCAGGACAAAAGGAAACTGTCTGATGAGGTAACTGTGATGTCTTCTTTCTGCTGTGCCCCAATTCTGCAGGATCTGTTCAAAGGCTTTGCTCGGCACCTGTCTCACTTACTGACTGAAGAGCAGAACCCACCCCGCAAGACTGGTGAGTTGGCAGCTGGGGAGAGCACCAAGAATATTGGGCTCTTCTGATGCTAAATGGATGGAAGTCTTTAGAGGGCAGATGTCTTGGAGTATCTTCTCAAAGGTGATGCTTCCTCTCTTGCAGTGAAGGAGGAAGCACAGAGACTCATCAAGGAGTTTTTCAAAACAAGGGTCAGGTGTGAGAGTGAGACAGACTGGCAGGAGCTGCAGAGCTCCGGGAGCTGACTCTCAGGTCACGTTGGCTGCCCTTCTCCAGTGGTGCGACCAGGGGAGCTTGAAGAACTCACCCATGGAGGGTTTCATGGACCTGGAGAACTGAGCTTGCTTTTCCAACAGCATCTTTGTTCACTTCTGATCTTAGTGACACACAGTTCCAGGAAACCAGTTTCTGTGAATGTATGGAGAGTTTCTCCAGTAAGTGGGGTGCTGAAGCCCAGTGGTTGCTCACACCTTGCTAAGAGGTGTGAATTACTCATCTGCTGTGTAGGTTAGGGGCAACCACCCCAGATGTTCTACAGTGTCTCCAACCTCTATGCAGCAGTTTGCTCAGACTTTCCAACAGGGACTCTGCTTTGGGATGGCATCTTGCTTCCTAGATAGGTCCTCTCCTTGCTCCCCCATCCCTTAGTTCTTATTTCAGTGTTGCCAATAGAAGCCTTATGCTAGAAGTTCACATGCTTTGCTCAGGGCTGCCAATGATAAAGTTGATGATTGAGTTCTTGGATGGACAGGAGAGGAGCATTTTGTTTCTCCCATATAGGCAATGTCTACTTGCTGAAGGTGGAGAAACTCAGTTTCTTTTTCTTTTAATCTGAACTTCTCTTTTTTGACTTTGTCTAGTTCTTCCTGCCCTTAATATTAAGCGGTGATGCTTTTTCAGTATTAACCTCTCCAACAGTAGCACCAAGGTTGTCAACACTTTTCCAGCATTTGCTTGTAACCCCTAAAGCCATATTTGCTACCTGTGCCTCACCTGCAGTCTGCAATACCGAAGGCCGTGGTGCTGTTACAACTGGTTAAGGTACCACTGTGGCCCTCAAATTGACACTATGGTGTGTCTGCTGCTATATTTATATAAGGATCTGAACTTCAGGGCATCAGTGGGCTTGAGATAACCCAATTCCCTGGCACAGGTTCTTTCTGTTCAGTCGTTATGGGTTCTGCTTTTGTTTCATTCTCACAGAGGCTGGTGGCCTCAAGCACTAGTGCTGCTGGAGGAATCTTCAGCCTCAGAGGCCATCCAATGCCTTTTAGATCACTGTACTCAGTGGGTGTATTTTTTTTTAATGTACTGAAGGCTACATGTGGAACTGACAATAAACCAATGTTAGAGCTGTTGTGGACTCTTCCTGGAAGCTTTTTCTTACCACTCAGTCATATGGACTGGTCTCAGATACATTAGGACATCGTCGCTGTGAGCACAGACATAAAAGCTCATGTCATATCTGAACAGACAGCTAATAAATGCAAGCCTGGGAGGGGCTGGATGGGAAGTGTGTGCCCACAGATACCTCCAACACTTTACTGCTGCAGCACGTCTCCAGCTAGAAGCAAGGGGAGAACCTGGAAATGTTTAACTCAAAATCACCTTCATCTTCAGCTTGCTCTTGTCAGTTGGGGCCAAGGGGCTTTACAAGAAGCTTTTTACACAAGTATTTTTTAGCTGTTGCCTGCTAGTTTCTGACAGCTACCCACAGGTGAGTCTTCCCATGGCAGATGTAAACCCGTATCTGGCATGTCAGCTTCGAGACAGCTCCATGTGATCATTTTATTGCAGTCTCCTGAAGTTCACTATTCTACAGTGCAGTAGGATAGCTGTAGCAATAGAAATAAATTAAGCATTTTTGTACAACCCAGGCCATGCTCCTCTACTGGAGTAAAAGTTCCATTTGAAAATGCTTTCTCTATGGGCATGGACCTATCATTTCAGTATGACAGCTGCATGGACGTGGCACTTCTTCATAGCAGAGGGAAACATGAATATAATTGTCAATAAGAAATTAATCAAGAATAAACCTTCTTACATTGCATCTCAATGTGTGCTGCAGCATGCGTTAATTGTATATTAACAGTGACATGGTTTGCAATTGTGATGCTTTCTACAAGCTCCTGCTTCACAAACCAAGCTATAGGGCCTCTTGCATGTCAGTACAAAGAACAAGCTGGCCTATGGAAAATGCCAGTGCAGTCATGTCATAGGCTCAGCTGTGCATTAGGATACATAAATCTATAGCAAACATCAGGTTTTGTTCATGTTAATTGGGAAAAAAGAAGAGTTCCAGACTCTCCCAGGCAATTGCTTGTATCTGCTCAGCTGCTCAGATTGAAACAGGCTATGGAAGAGCAGTGGTGTGCAAAGGGTGTCTTTGTAGTCTGGTTAGCCACCACACGCATTACTTCAAGGGAGAGGGCTTGGGGACTGAACGGCAGGTCAGGAGGGGTGAGGTTATGGTCCAGTCAGGGGTGGCAGTATTAGAAAGCAGCTGTCTGAGGCTGTAGATGTCTTTGGAAGAGTCCCCTCCAGATGACAGGGCAGGAAACATTGAACAAACTCAAAGAACAGAAAACAGTGCTGTTGTTCATAGTCATTCTCCTCTTAGGCTCTAGTGATGCAACTCTGTTTTATCCAGGATGACCACAACTGTGTGATACATTTCTTTAGCCTGTCAAAACACAAATCAGTATCAGTCATTCTCTGACCCAGAAATGTCTGCTTCTCATAATTAAGTATTCCCCTAAATCACTTTCTGTAAGTAAACATCAGGTACATGTTGGGGCAAAGCTGCACACTGGCACTTGGGGAATGCAGTGCCCCTTCCACCTCTGGGACAAAAGAGGCTTAGCTGGACAGTGGAGGGCTATTTCTGAGTTGCTGTGGGGTCCAGGGTGACCTTACCTGTGCCAGTTCAAGCCACATAGTCTTGGGGCTAGCAGCCGAGCCATAGTTCAGTTCTAAGCCAGGAAGCCCACCATCGGAGAGAGGCCGCAGAGTTCGCATCTTCTGCAGCTCTTTCAGTGGAATGATGCAGGAGACTGCCTGGGTGTGAGGAAAAGCCACAGCCCACCCTCAGGTACAGTCCTTACAAATAAAACAGTCTGATTCTCCCTAAGGAGGGTTCACCTCAAGAGCCTATGGGAAGATGAAACAAGAACTGGAGCAGAGGGCAGTGCTGCAAGACTGGGACAAGCAGGAATGGGACCTACACTTGGTTTTACTGTGAATCATGCATAAGGAGGCCACAAAGGTGTCCTGAGGGCTGGAGCAGCTCTGCTCTGGAGCCAGGCTGAGAGAGCTGGGCTGGGGCAGCCTGGAGAAGAGAAGGATCCTGAAGGGGAGACCTTAGAGCAGCTCCAGTGCCTAAAGGGGCTGCAGGAAACCTGGAGAGGGGCTTGGGACAAGGGATGGAGGGACAGGGCAAGGGGAATGGCTTGAACCTGCCCGAGGGGAGACTGAGCTGAGCTCTTAGGCAGAAGCTCTTCCCTGTGAGGGTGCTGAGGCACTGGCACAGGGTGCCCAGAGAAGCTGTGGCTGCCCCATCCCTGGCAGTGTTCAAGGCCAGGCTGGACACAGGGCTTGGAGCAAGCTGCTCCAGTGGAAGGGGTCCCTGCCCCTGGCAGGGGTTGGAGCTGGAGGAGCTTTAAGGTCCCTTCCAACCCAAACCAGTCTGGGATTCTGTGATCACTGTACTTACAAAAGAGCACCTGGCATTAGTAACTGTTCCACCACCCATTACTCATTTTGGGCTAGGGCTGATAGTGTGGCTGTGATACAGGTAAATACAGTCTCTCCCTGCACAGGTTCTTCTAAAAGTCAAAGTTAACATCTGACAGACATCAGGGGTCTGGGCTCTGTGGAGGAATTGTCTAGCATACCTGGCTGGTCTTGTCTACCACAATGATCTCCTCTTCATTCACGCCAAAGAAACAGGGCACAGAGATTGTGTCATCACTGACTCTCTCAACAAAGTAGATGGTGTAGCCAAAGAAAGGCAATTTCATCACATGCTCTGTAAGAAAGTAATAAGTGGCTTTCAGGCAGCAGCTTCCAGGCAGCAATCTACTGCACTAACCTTAGGTGGTCAAAAGCTGCAAGTGTTCCCAAGCATTTCTGCATTAAAAAATGAGATTGACAACTTCTCCCTCCCTTCCTGATACTCAATTCTCAACAGCCTGCAAGGATGTCCCGTTCTTTCCCTACCAGAAAACAGATATGCAGCCAAAATATTAAAACACAATTTGTACAGAGCTCTAAAATCTATTGCAGACAAATCTACAAGGAGTGGAACTTATAACTGTGATCACCATGCTTGGGAACAAGTGCTCATCTGCAGGGGGAAGCTGTCACAGTCCATTCCAGGCTTCAAAGATCCTCACCAACCTCATGAGCTGTCCCAAAAGTGTGTTCAGAGCAGCTTACCAGATCTGTTTGAGATCTTGATGTTATCTCCTCACCTATGAACTGGATTTTTGCATCCACTGGCGGGAGGGGCTGCCTGGTTCTCAGCAGCATCTCGACTTGGTGTTGCAGAACCTCTGGACTGATGTAGGACTGCAGGGTCTTTGGAGTGTACTCCTTCAGCTCTTCCCTGTGCCAGCAAGCAGATACTAATTCACCCCCTGCCCAGCTAAAATGGAAGGATCACCAGGGGGATTAAGGAGAGGGAAGGGATGTGGCAGCAGTTTTCAATTGCGTGGCTGGGGGCATGGGTGGAGGGAGAGGGGAGGAGCAGAACAGGTTGTATCTGCACTGGATAACGTGTAAGGAAACATCAGCGAGAGTGAGACCAGCACTTCCCACAGAGCAGACAGCTATGCACCACTGACTAGCGCACTAGGAAACAAGTCCTGCCTTTCTGGAATCAACAGGAGCCCTTCAAGCAAGGACTGCAGCATAAAATAAGACCACGGGTGTTTCTTAGGCAATCTCAGCTGAACACCACCTTACTCAAGCCCTGTCTCGCTCCTGCGCATCCAAAGCACTACAGAAAGCAGAGTTCCCCATGCCCAGCAGGGTTATGCCATTTCCTCCTGCTGCTGGTGCTCTAAGGGGATCTGGTGTAGACATTACCTTGACTTTGAGTCAAAGTGCTTAAGGATACAGGAAGGAAGGATCATGAAAACACAGCTGAGGACTGCAGGACAGACACTTTCCAGTGCCCAGGGACATTTTCATTCCATTAGGCAGCTCACTACAGATTTCAGGTGCCCTAGGTTGGTAACTCTGGCACTTACGAGAAACAACAAAGCAGCATTCATCCCAACTATAAGCTCATGCACTGCCTCCTTGGCATTACAAGCACATGGCAATCAAATGTCCATGGAACCCTCATGACCCTCAGCTTGGGAGCAGCCACAAAAAGAAATGTGCATAAGAGACAGTCAGCATTAAGAGTGGGAGCAAGAGGTAAACTTCCCTAAGGGCAGGACTCAGTCACTAAAGTGACATTAATGAGTAGCTTGTGTTCTCCAGAACTGTCCATTCCCTCATTATCCAGAAAATACTTTCAGGCACCCACTCCTAACCCCTGTGATGCCAACAGCCACTAGAGATAAAGACCCACCCTGCAACAGACATACCTGGAGAGAGCCGAGTTCTGCTGCTCTGGTTTGGCCCAGTGCTGGAGCATCGCCAAAACGCCCACCTGCATCTCCATTTCTTTAGTACAGCTCAAAAGCATCCCCCCATTCAGGTAATCCCACTGCATCTGAGCACAGAAGAGAGGCCTCTGTTAAACCTGCCAGAAGACACAGGCAGGTCTGGGCAGCACTAGGCTGCAGAGACCCACATCCTGCCTTGCTGGCAGCACATCCAGCTCAGGCTGGTAACACAAAAGCAAAGGCTTTCTGAGCTCAGGAAGAGCATGCAGAACTGCACAATCCTTGTCTGGAACAGGACAGCTCATAGGCTAGGGCGAGAGGCACATTGACTTCCTTGCATCCAGTTAATGGTCATTCCCAGAAACAGCATACACAGCCCATCAGCCAAAGCCCTCCTGCTTCTTCAGCCTTCTTGGGACATTCCCAAGGGCCTGGTCACTAATGCTGTCCCTGCTAGGGAGCCTGGCTAGGGAGGTTCCTGGTGCACACACTGGTCTTGCTGCTTACCTGTCCATAATGGACATCTGTATAAATGTTGTTCTCAAAGTGCAGAGGTGTCCTCCAGAGGAGCCTGCGTAAAGTCACAGTGACCAGACTGTCCTCCAGCAGGTAATCATGGAGATACTCCTCCGGTCTTATCGGCCTCACCATTTTATCTGCATGTTTACACAGAGAGAGGGTCACTCAGAGAGAAACTGCTGTAAGAAAGAAGCCAGCTGCTCACCTCTACTTGCCGAGATTATTGTTGTCACTCCTGCTGGCAAAAAGGACAAATTCCTGTATCTCTTCCTGTTCACCTGCCCCCATCTGCTCACAGATCTCCTGCAAGAGCTCCTTGGCCACCTGGAACAATGAAAGAAACAAAAAAACCCTATGGCTGGGCAAGCCAAATGCAGCCCCAGAGCAGTTAGACATACTGGGCCTGTTGGAGGGCAGCAGTATGGCTCTGGTCACTGCACGAAGTGAGTGGCATGAGGCACTGTGCAGGCCCTGCACAGGCAGGCGGCTCCAGGGATTCTTAGGAAGTAAAAAAGAAACTATCCCAGCATTTTGGGAAGCGCAGGCCAAACCCAAGGAGGTGACAGATACAGGAGTTCCCTCCTGCGGCTCAGGGTCCACATCAACAAAGACATTCAAAGCAGAAAACTCACAGTGAATGTCTTGATCCGGGTGAGGTATTCCACACCTCCAGGCAGCAGGATCACCAGCCGGCGGGCACCGTGCCCCCTCTGCAAAGGACGGTCTTTAGGCAGCAATACGTGCAGGATCCCATCAGCCCCACGATTCTACCTCCCTCCTCATCTCAGCCTTCCACTGCCCATATCCCTGCCTATTCTATGGCATTGCACTTCCCAGTCCCCTTACAGACACACAGTTTGTTTCCTCTCTTGGAACACAAACCACTGCTGCAAAACTGCCCATGGCACCTCCTGGGAATCATAGAAACCACCCTTTAACCTCATCCAGTCCAACCATTCTCCGAACAGTGCCAAGTCCACCCCTAACCCATGGCACTGAGGCCTCGTCTCCACGCTGTGTGAACACTTGCAGGGCCGGTGCCTGCAGCCCTGCCCTGGGCAGCCTGTTCCAATGCCTGAGCACCCTCTGGGGCAGGAATTGTTCCTCAGCTCCATCTAAACCTGCCCTGGTGCAGCTTGAGGCCGGTTCCTCTTGTCCCATCCCTTGTTCCTTGGGAGCAGAGCCCAGCCCCTCCTGGCTCCATCCTCCTCTCAGGCAGTTGGAGGCAGCCATCAGGTCCCCCCTGAGCCTTCTCTTCTCCACACTGAACCCCCCAGGTCCCTCAGCCCTTCCCCATCACCCCTGTGCTCCAGGCCCTGCACCAGCTCCATTCCCTTCTCTGGCCCCGCTCCAGCCCCTCAATGTCTCTCTTGCAGTGAGGGGCCCACAGCTGAACACAGGATTCGAGGTGCGGCCTCAACCAGTGCCCAGTGCAGGGGCACAATCCCTGCCCTGGCCCTGCTGCCACACTGGTGCTGAGCCAGGCCAGGATGCTGGGGGCTGCCTGGGCACAAGCTGCTCATGGTCAGCTCCATCAATCAGCACCTCCACATCCTTTTCTGCCGAGCAGCTTCCCAGCCACTCTTCCCCAAGCTGGGAGTGTTGCAGGGGGTTATTGTGGGAAGCCTTTGCCCTCCTTCTCTTCCCAGCACCCCACTTCTCTCCCCTCAATACCAGCAATGCCTCCATCTCCACAGGGAAGGGAAGGTGGCGACGGCCCCCATACATGAAATTTTTCCGCAGGTTGCTCTGACAGATCTTGGCTATTTCTGCAGGAAAAGGAAAAGGATAAAGCTTCCTGTGCTGAACCAGAGAGTGAAGCATTGTCTCCTATGATGCTGGCTTATCCTGCCTGTGTTGAATTTAACTCAGGGCTGCTGCTAGGAGAGCAAAGAGACTTGACCTCATCTTCCACTCTGCCAGGACACATCCAAATCATGAGGGACCAGCTCCAGCCAGCCTCCAGGGCAGTAGAAATACAGAAGAATGACAGGATGGGAGAACTAGAACCTATTCTCTGGCAAGATTCCAATCCAACACCTCCCAGCTGATGATTCTGGAAGACCACAGTCTGGCTTCCCCCAGGGTCTAGGTGTCAAACTGGGCCTAAGCCACAGGGCTAAGCTAAGCCTCAGAGACACAGTTCTACCTTGCCTGGGTGAAGGTGCAGTGGGAAGACTAGAGATACAAAGCAGCCTCTTGCCTGCAGGCTCAGCTTCCTCAGTACCTCAGTCATGTCTCCTGTCTAACAGGCTAAGGGAGATTTTCTCATTGGACTATGTCCCTGTCTGGATCCTGTTTTCTTTCCTTGACCACTCGGCCTTAGTAACAAGGGGACAGACATTTATTTTACAGGACACAGAAACAGTCATACCATGGTGTATGCTAGATGGATCACTGCTGGCTAGCTGCAGAAACTTGGTGGCATAGGGCATCAGGATGTTGGAAGGGAGGAAGTACCCAGTTAGCAGGTTTAGGAGCAACCAACCACGCAGCACGCTCTCCCTGCAGAACAGAAAGATCTATGGGCACCTTGGAATAGGACAATTCCTGCTCCAAGCAGCTCAAAGTGAGCCTCAGCCCTTCTGAGCACCTGTGGCAGGTGGCAGAAAATGAGGCAGTGCCTGTTGGTCAGTGTCCTTATGCTGAGGAAGTGATTGACTCAGTTACTCTAACAGCAAACGAAGGGAACAGTCAAGGCTGCTCTAATGCTACTGCTGCCCTGTTGCAGGGAGGAGCGAGGGTCAAGCCAGTTCCTAACTATTGTATCAGTTCCCAAGGACTTTGATGAGCACATCAGGGCTCTGAGCAGCACCATTACCAGGAGCTACCAGCAATATTTATCAGTGCCCAGATATATTGGCAGCCAGAGATATAAGGACAAATCTCCACTGAAGTGCAAGTGCCAAAGCTGGTGACTGGTTGCATTTCCTGAATGTGCAGCAAATCCCCAGCATCTGAGCACCTGGAGACCATACTGCAGCAGTGGGCAGCCTGCCCCCAGCGCTGCTGTCCATGAAGCAAGGCAGACAGTTCTCCTTCTGACAGTGCTTGTACTCACTGGTTGGGGTTGTGGGTGACCTGTTTGATGGCCTGGCAGTAGACCTCATCATGCAAGCTCTCCTTCTCCTTGCACAGCTGCATTCAGAGAGGAAAAGACAGCATCAGAGAGGCCTCAGATCATCTCTGTGCCCTTCATCTCTCAGCTTCAGAGCTCTGCCAATTTGGCTTAAAGCTTGGGCTTTGCAGCCTCTGGTCTTTGCACCTCTACCTAGGCCCAGAGAAGAAGAGGCAAGCTGTGATCCTAGCTGTGATATCCCAGACAGTGATATCCAGGGAAACCATTTACTTGCAACCCCTCTGCCCCATGGTTTTAAATCAGCCTCTCTGTTTCAGCTCCCTTTCTCATTTAGGAGATTGCATTACAGCTCTCCCTTTTCTCTCTCTTCCGAGCATGGCCTTTTATTCCCACTGGTGCTTCAGTGCCTTGCCTGGGGAAAGGTCACAAACCTGAAGGATTTCATAGATGCATTCAACATCATTTTGGTTCTTGAGTTTTGCTTGATCTCCCATGAACCGCATCAGAGCTGCAAGGCAAAGGCTGGCATTTAGGTCTAAGCAGAGGTGATCCTGCCATGGGGCAGGTAGTAGATTAGAAAATGCCCTGAAAGCTTTCCTGCTCCACAGGCTTTTCTGGGGCTTGTACTGGACATGTGAAGTCAGTGGGGCATCAGCCCAGGCAGTGTGTGTTCTTGGTCTCCTTGCACTCAAGGCGAAGCACATCTGATGGGATGCTTTCAGCAGTTACTAACTGCAGAAATGGTTTAGGAGGGACACTCCTGTCACACCTTTCCTTCCCCACTCTGGGCCCTGTGATGTCTATGTGTGGCCCATCAAGGCCACCCTGGCTCCAGCCTCTCCAGTGTTGTGTCTTAGGGAGGTACTTACTCTTGAAGTTCTTTGCAGCAAGCTCACTGAGCTCTCTATCAGAGTACTGGAGCAAAGATTCCTGGATTGGGACCTACAGGGCAGAATACAAGGTTAAAGTGGGGAGGCAGATCACACAGAGCTGTGCTGCAGGCTTCATGAAGACACAAGCTCCCGGTGTGTTGCAAGCAGGACTCAAGAGTAGGAGGCACCTACACTTCTCCAGAGACTGCACCAAATGATCTGCCCTCTGCTCTTTTGTTGTGAGGACAAAGCTAGAGGCAGTGCTGGAGCTGGGATTCTGACTGTAGCCATGGGGAAAGACTGGGCTCACCTTGGTGTGCTGGACCAGCTCAGCTATACTCTTCTTTTCAGCAGCCATCCCCTTCAGTCCCTGCCTAGACAGAGGAGAGGGAACATGTAATCCACGAAACATCCCCAGAAGTGGCCTGGTGGGTAGGCCAGGTATGCCTGTTCAGGAAGGACGACAGCCTACTCACATGGACTGAGCTTCTCGGAAGTAGGTTGTGGCAAAGTCAAGCATGGTATAACGATCACCAGCAGCAACTAACATGATGCTGTCAGGTTCTAATGTTAGGCTAGGAGCAGAACTCTGCAGAGACAGGCACCAAATCCACCCAGAAAGTTAGCTGAGAAACTACAGTGCATATTCTCACCTGCAGCACTGGGAAGACCTCCTCTGTGTTTAGTGCCTCCCCCTCCCACTATAATAGTATTTGAGTGTCTCCATCTGCAAGCCTTGGAGGTCAGATGCTACCAGGACCACAAACCAAACCTGGCTCCTCCCACAGCACCCAGCTGTATCCCCTAGAAGTTCCCCGAAGACAACTCACCTCCCTGCTGGTGTTCCTGCTCTCTGAGGGATACTTCATGCTCTTCCACAGCCGTCCGTGTCTGTCCATGCTGGTGCTGAGGTAATCGGGTGCTGCAGCCAATTGCACCAGGCTGGTAGGGAAAATACCACAGCGGCCACCAGTGGAGCCAAACTGCCAGCCTGCAGGAACAGCGGAGGAAGAGTCAGGAGTCAGGGCAGCTACAAAGGGAAACAAGCAGTGAAGCATTCTGCTGGCAAAGAAGAGCATCAGACTGAGCAGGGTTTCCCACAGCCTAAGATAACAGACCTCAGAACTATGGCAGCTGGAACAAGGAGGGTTGTGATTAGAGAACGGCAGAACTAAGACTGACTGTGCCAGCCCTGAACAGTCTGCTTTCCTCTGATTTACTTGACAGCAGCACATAGAGCTTCTCAGCACCATGGGTCCAACAGGCCCTTGAGCCCAGCCCCCAATCTTGACAAGCTCCCTCACCTGGCTCCACGCCTTGCATGGGCAGTAACTCAATGAGGTCTCCCTTCTTGAAGCTAAGAAGACTCTTGTCATCCACAATGTAGCTGCGCAGAGCAATGACATAGTTGGTATCCTGGGGAAAAAGCAATGAGGTCAAATCTCATCCCCAAGATGTGAAGGACTCAGCCCATGTTATCCCGTGGACCCTGACAGGTCCATGTGGGAAAGCACCTTAATTCCCTACTGCACTACAGCTGCTCCCTCACCTGCCTCAGCTCCTGCATGAAGAGTTCCACCAAAGCCTTGATGCACGCAGCCTTTGGAGAGCGCAAGAAGAGCTGCTCTGTCTTCAGAGAGAACACCAGGGTATCGCTGCCCTTCAGTTCCACTGACAGCACATCTGCAAAGCTGAGAACACAGCCAGCATGCTCAGACTGCTTCTGCCAGAGCGAGGGGTGCAGATCATGGGGATGGGAGCTCACTTCGAGGACTGAGAATGGAGACAGGCCTCAGCATGCTCCAAGGTGGCCTTTCACCAGTAGTGTATTACTGAAATAGGACCATAGGTTGCTCATGGCTTTCACTGTATTACTGTGACCTTTATTCCAGGCATGGAGCTGACTGTGCACACCCAGCACTCACTTATTGTAAGTAAAACACAAAGTAGAAAGGAAAGGGAAAGGCCAAACTCATTAGAAAGAGGGTCAGTGAGTCACAACTGGCATAGGACATCCCTATAAGGTACAGCACAAACAGGGAATTTTCAGTTGACCTGTTCAATTTACCCCCTAACACTCTGAAAGCATCCTACAAATGACAAATTATCATCCTGCAGCAACCAGTGCCCTTTTGCTCACCAGTAGCTGCAAAGAATCTTCAAGTGCTTAGGATTATACCCAGCTGCTTTCATCACCTTCAGCAGCCGTATGCCCCGGTGAGAAACACCCAGGATCTGGACATCACTTCCATTTTCACCCTGTAAGGAAAGTGCAGGAACAAGTATCAAAGGCTCCATCCCACATGGACAGGATGCAGCAGGGGAAGAAGATGCTGCCACATGTATCACAAAGGAAGCCCTGGGTGGTGTCAAACCCAGCAAAGTACAGAAGGCACAGAAGAATGAGTGATGTGTGGCCAGGCAGGAAGACAGAAAGAGATCCTGGGTGAATTAGAGCTCCACAGTTAAAGTAAGCCCAGGGGCTGGTGAGAAGACCAAAACTCACATGAACTGGGAAAAGGCGGGAGAAATAGTTAGCCCAGTTATCCCGAGCAGCCAGTACAATCCTCTTCTTTATCCCATCCTCCTGAATGGACTGGACATCATTGCCAACCCGGAACTCCACTGTCAGTGATACAGAGCAGATACTTTCTCAGTAAGACAAAGATGCCAAGTCTCTGCCCAGGGACTCATTCCCACCAGCCCCCCCTTGGTGATTACAGCAAACGACATGCAGAGGTGAAGGTTACTACATTGCTTGCACACATCAGTCTACTACTAGTTTCTCACACCGTCTCCATGAAGCCCCTGTCAAAGAAGACAACTGTGTTTTGAGACAACTCAAAATCCCATCCTTGGGCCTCAGCTCCTTCTCCCCACAATAAACACATCAGAAATAAGTTTTGCTAGGTCTGAGAAATTTCAGGGCCATTTTCTGGCCATGTGGAATTAAACAAACATTCCTACACTGCACTACACAGCACACAAAAATGTGCTTTCTTGCTTCAGTGACAAACATTTCTCCTCTGCCCTAAGTCCTGCCTGAAAGGGCTTGGAGGCAAGTTGCCTGTTTCAACCCAAAAGCTGTGATGGGCACAGGAATGATGGGGCTGTTAATTACTCAGCAGATCTTTCATCTTGCGCTTCTCTTCCCTGGAGATGCGAAAGCAGGAATCAGAGAAGGTGTCACGTATGATCTGCAAAGGAAAGAAACAGAGAGGCTTCCGCTGCAAAGGCCACATCTGATTGTCTTGGAGCATCTGAGGCTGTTAAACAGTTTCAGAGAGGAGTGAACAGGGGCTTGGCTGGATGGACCTGGAGAAGGGACTAACACCAGTAGAGATGCTGAAGAGCTGGCAACACATGCAATGTATTTATGGAGTGTTTCAACACCAGAGAGAACAGGCCTTGAGTCACACACCAGTACATACCTGTTCGCACAGCAGGTTCAGACAGTAAGGGTGACTGAAGTTTTCTTTGGGGTAAAACACCTACAAGAGGTGGATAAAGACAACAGTGGTGTTACAGATGTTTACAGATGTTGCAGAAATAGCTTCCCAGAGAGAAGCAAGCTCATCTCCAAGGGCAGGCAGGGAAGAGATGCTGAATGTGAACAGAAGGGCAAGGAGTGGAGGACCAGTAATAAAGTGGTGAAACCCTTGGATGTACCCTGGTCAGTTCAGTGCACTCTCCAATTTTAAACCCATTTATACTATTTTAACAGGAAAACACCAGGTAACAAAAGATTTACTTTATTTGTAGATTTCTCAGTGCTGTGCAGATGAAGAAAAGGACAGGTAGGGAAACTGAGGCACGAGTCAGTAAGGCAGAGCAGGACTCAGATCCCCTATGAGATCCCTATGCTTCTGACTCATGCCTCTGTGCTCTTATCTCACACTGGGTGCTGTGACAAAAACTTATTTTAACCAAATGTGGGACCCGTTTCCTCCCCCCGCAGCCAGCCCTCAGCTGGTGAATTGTACCTCTTTGCGCAGAAAGATTTTCCAGGCTGGCTTGTCATAGGCAAAGCTGACACTGCTAGTGAGCTTGTACAACTGGGTCTTGATACCATCATCTTCTGCTACTGTTACAGCAGAGTCTGTGTGAGAGAAAAGAGCCATGAAGATGGGATTTGCTGACCACAGGGTCACCTTTCCACCAAGTGAAAGGGGACAGAGCCTTATGCCTGAGGATTACTGGTAGGAACCCTCTTGAAGGTCAGTGATCAGCTAATGAGAGTGCATGCACAAAACAGACACCATGTGAGTACCAGCGTATCTGATAGCATGTATAGCTGCTGTATAAGCCACAAAGTTCACTGTTTATAATAGAAATACTCCAGAGACGGGGAGCAAACAGGATCCCAGGCAAAATACTACCCCTGTGCTTAAGGTTGAGGATGCAAGTTTCACTTTATGTCATTATAAAAAGGCTGTGAAAGGTTTCAAAAGGACACAAAAGTTCTCGTCTGAGCTTGCAAGCTGTAAGGTTCTGGTTCAAGGCATCCAGGACTTGCAGTGGATTTTCTCTCTGAAGGAGAGCTGTTAAAGACAGGCTCGGTTTGAAGGCAGCCATTCGAAGGAATTGCTTTCTGAGGTAAGAATGTCTTCATTTAAGCATTTCCAACTTCCCAAACTCCAGAGATCCTAGCCAAGAAACAGTAGATCCCACTACTATGCAGCAGCAGTTCAGCTGCTTCTATATTCCTATTCAAAAGCATGTAGAAATTTTTCAGGCTAATCCAGTTACTTTGATTTACTTTCACAGGACTTCCTAAAGAAACATTTTCTAAACCAGACAAGGAATGAATCAGGGAAAGTCTTTAATACCAAGGAAACTGCTGCAGGGTGGAGTTCTTCAGTAGTGTGTTTGGCTGACTGTTCCTTGCATGTTATAAAATGTGATGCTCATGAGAGTTTTAAACAGCTTGAAATACATTGGTACATGTATCCAAAATAGCAGCAAAATACAAAATTAATTATGGCTCCAGGTTCCCACTGAAATTCAGAGGCAAACCCGAAAGCTGAACAACACTACCAAATTACTGCTGAGAAGCATTAGCTGTGCCATTTTTAGGTGGGCAGTATCCAGACACTCCTCATGTGACTTTATAGACAATGTCTAAGGCTTTCCAGGCTCTCATTTGCCCTCAGAACACTCCCTCATTCCTCAGCCTGTCTGTAAGGACCCTCCAGAGGCTCTAGAAGGTAAAACAACACCTAAATTCCAATTCCTCCCTAGTCTAAAGTTCATATGTTGAATTACAGCTTTGATAAAGTAATTATGCTTCAGGTAAGCAATAAAATGTCTTGAGAAGTGGACCTTGATACAGCTGTAGCCTGAAGGCCCTTTCTGGTTTGAGTTGCATTTCTCAGAGAAGCCCAGCCCCTGCTTCATCATCTGTGCCTGATGTCCTGCACAGCACAGGGAAGAAAGGGAACAGTTTGAGCTGGGAAGTGCCATGCTGATTACTGGGCCAGACTGGAGCTATGACAGTCTCTGATTTCAGACACCCCACCCAGTCTCAGGCAGCTCCCCCACGACAGAACATGTGCTGAGACTCTGCCGGGCCACTGGGCTGATCGCAACCACATTCCCTCCCTGCTACCAAATGGCTCCTGGGTGAAGTCAATACTCACCCTTCCCTGTGGATTCCTGCCAGCCTGGGGTCTCGGGCAGGAGAGGAGAAGGCAATGGTGGGGGAAGAGGGGGAGCAGGAGGGGCCTGGGAACCTGGTGGGGTACTCTCCTGGCTGAAGACAGAGAGGAGAGGCAGCTGCTTCTCCTTGATAGAGCTGGAAGCTGAGGCAGGCTTGGGCTTGGGAGGTGGAGGTGGTCTCTTCTCTTGTGGCAGTGGGGATGTCTGCAAGACAGCAAAACTGTGTGACCCGGCAATTCTCTGCATTACTGGGCTGTCCTTCTATGTCATCTCTAGGGCAGCAGCAGTTCAACCCTGGGAGAGCAGGACCTTTAAATCAACATACGATCTACAAACAGAGGAAGATCAATCAAATCTAGGTGCAGAGAACCAAGTATTTGAGATTAAAGCCTAGAGTTAAGGAGGGGAAAAATGACATTAATGGGCCAAGATCTTGGTGCCAAATGCGGGGAACATAAGTTGCTTGCTTCCAGATAGGCTTTAAACATACCACAGTAGAACTTACAGCTCCAAGAGCCTTTTCTTCATGACCTCAAGCAACTTTACAGATTGAAACTCAGTTTAGGATGGCAGCACTGCGGTTAAGAGCTCACAGCTCTCTAGTAACCTAAGAAGATATTACCTGGTTGATGCTGCACTACCAGATAGCTCCCCGCTTTTTAGAGACCAGATACACAGACTCTCTCTGCTGAACTCTTAAGGTGACCAGAGAGAAAAGAACTCACTGATTTGGGAGATGGGAGGTTCATCATTCCCAGCTTGGCCAGAGCCTCATTTTTGGGGTCGTTCTTCTTCATAAATGGCTTAGATACTTTCCTGGAAGGAAATGAGGAAGACAGTTATGGGAGCTGCAGAGGGTTTGGGGCCTCAGTGGAGCCATGTGGCATTGGGATATAATCCCACTCATCTCCTTCCTGTGTGCTGGGTGGATCCTGCTCTCACCTGGCAGGCTCGATGGGCTGGGGCTCGGGGGCTGGCCGGCTCTGGTACATCCTGATGATGTTGCGGATCTCCCGGCTGGGTGCAGGCCGCAGCTCGGGGCCAGAAGCCTTCACTACTGGTGGCTCCTTCTTTACTTTTGGTGTTTGGTTTTTTGGCTTTGGCTCAGGAGGTGGCAAAAGCGGAGCAGAAGCTGTTGGGGATAACAGCTTTAACCAACAGACCAGCAAAAACACAGGAAAAATGCCTTTATCTTATTTGAAGCTCTCTCTCTTACACCTGAAAGCTGACTGGTTATGGCCTTGAGCTGCCTTGATCCTTTGGACCTTTGGGATCCCACTTCCCAAAGCTCAGGGCCTTGTCTCTCCTCTCTAGTCAAGATGCAGACTCACAGATGAGCCAGATCCTTTCCTGCCCTGGTTATATCCTGGCCTGATGCTCCTGGAAAGTTTCTGTTTGTCAGCTTGCCTGGGTCTCCATTGCACAGCATCTTACCTGCCTCGGTTTTAGGGCCAGGCTTCTCTTCTTTCCTCTTCTCCTGCTCCTCTTCCTTCTCCTCCTGCTTTGGCTGGGGATTTGCTGGAGGGGTCCAGGTTTTGGAAGGACTGACTTTCTTCACACGGATCTGTTGCTCTCCTATGTAGAAAGGGGGATCTGAATTAATTAAACCCAGCACTGATGGCATAGTTCCCACCTGTGCATCAGTCAGCAGACCACTAGAGGCAAAGGGGGATGTAGCAGTCACAAACCCAAAAACCTCTAGAAAACCGGCCACACAGCACCTCACAGCCTGAACTGTAGCCAGCTGAGCAGGCACACAAAACTCCTGCCGTGTTCCGCACAGGGAGAACAGAATTCCTTGTTGTGCTAGGGATGAGTAAAATTCCCAGAGTGGTAGATACACACCCATTTTCTGAAAATAGTCTCTTTTTTGCTGGAAGGTTTCCCGAGGATAGTCATCCTCTTCACTGCTGGAGAGCTGGTCTGCCATGTAGTCAGAAACCTGCAAGCAGTTCGCAACATGGTTAGTCAGCACTAGCCAGGTGATACCTCCATAGTGCCCTTAAGGTCAGAGGTGATCTTCCATCACCTTGCAAGATCTGATCTAGAACTCCCCATCTGGGACAGTCTCAAGAGATCAGTCTCTGACCCAAGGAATCACCAACTAAGTCCAGAGACAGAGGAGCATGTTAGAGGCCCAAGACAGCTTGCTGGAAGATAAAGAACTGAGAGTGATGAATTTTGGGAATTAACTGGCCAACACTGCATCCAAACCAAGGCCACCAAGGTTTGATCCTGTGTCTTAAAGACTCAGCAAGCAGAGTTTGAAAGGCCTCAGTATGATGGGTAAGCATAGCTCCGCTCCGCTCTCTGTCAAACCACTGCCACACTGGAAAAGAAGCAGAGTAAACACAAATCATACAATTCAAACCAATTTCATCACTCCTGTTTGTTTCTCATACCGGTTCTTCTGCCTTAGCTGGTGGCTCTGGAGCCTTTGGTGCTGGAGCAGCATTTTGGCTGCTGGGAGGCTTCTTAGGTTTTGGGAAAGTGGCAGGGACTGGGGCTGAGGCTGAAGCTGGGGCTTGGGCTTGTGGTGAACTTGAGACTCTTGGCCTTGATTTCTCAAGAGACTGTTGCCACTGCTGCTGTTGCTGCTGGGAAATGCTCATGGCTTGAAGGGTCACCTGCTGGGCCTGCAGGAAGGAATTGTGCATCCATGAGCTCTAGGCTACACAAAACCACCAGCTAGCAGTCAGACTGTCCCATTCTTTCACAGAGCATCTACATGGTCAACCAACCGCAAGTTTCCCAGTATTATGGACAAGGCATGGCCAGGGAGTCTGCTCCCACCTGCTCCTCAGAACACCCCAAAGACTCAGCTATCAGTGAGAGCAGCCTGGGACTCCCACGCACTCACAAGCCTTTGTAGAGAAAGCAGAACACTGCAGATCTGCATCTGTAGCAAATCCCAGTTTAAAAACACATGGGAATTACAGCTGAGGCTTCTAGGGGCCTTCTCTTGTCCCTGCTCACATATGGTACCTCAGTGTCCCCAGGTACACAAAGTGTCAAAAAGGGGGTTCTCAGTTTTCAGTCTTAAATCATCCCAACTTTATATAGCTAACCCCCAGCACATCAGCAGTGTTACAGAGCTCTAAGGCAGGAGGAGAGCATGGTGAACCTTTTCCCAGCACATTCACCAGTGCATTTTCCTGCCCCCATTTCTGGCCCTCTCTCAGCCAGCCCCTTCCACTCACCATGAGCATTGCTTGCTGGTTGATAAAGGCTTGCTGTTGTGCTGCTAACTGGTTGGGATCTACAGATGCAACCAGAGGCTGAGGCATAGCCATGGCTGTGGAAGACACACACATCTGCAAAAGCCCAGAGGCAATCACTCCCCACAGTGGCTGAGCATCAGCCCAGAGCTGAGTGTTCACTGTGCACTCATTGACATTTGAATGCACAAGGCCCCATCACAACACCCACCCTTCCTTCCAGTCTCTTACCCTGTACAGTTACTGAAACACTGTATGTTTACCTGGCATAGGTGCAATCCCAGCAGCTGCTGGCATCATAGGCATGACTGCTGGCATCCCCATCATGGAAGGCATGGGCTGGTAAACTGGTGTTTGAGTCATTCCAGAAAAGCCTCAAGGCAAAAGACCATAAGCACAGTGCTTTTGGGGAATAGCAGGTGAGAAAGCCCTGATCAGTCCTGCATCACATAGGCTGAGTGCCTCTTGTTCTCTTCCCATGCACTAACTACTGGGACATTTGAATGGTTTAGCTCTTCACACACAGCAGGACACATCAAAACTCAGGTGGAAAAAGGAAACCAAAGAGAAACATGTGGCCTGCCAGACTTTACAATAGCAGCTTTGCAGTCTCTGCCTCTGCAGCCTAGCTTAGGACACCACCATCTTTCATGATTAAGTACGTAAATAACTCCTGCCTATGTATGATTATAGCTGAGGGTTTCTCTTGAGGGATGGGCAAATATCTCTGGGACTGCCACATCCATATCAGACTCTTGGCACCATGTAGCAAGGATGAATGAACAGTAAGCTGTGGCCTGGGTGGCATTGTGTATCATGTGAAACAACAGTGGTGAGAAAGGAATTCCTCTGCTCTCAGCAGTCAAGTCCAACATGAGAAATCCCACTGAGGGCAAAGCCAGCTGAAGAAGGGGCATAGAGATTAGTTTTAAGAGTGAGTCAGCACACAGCACAGGTCTACTGAATCATGATGTCCTTGCCAGAGCATGGCCCAGAATGCCACAGAGAGATCTTCACATTCCTCGTTGATCTAATTAGCTACCAGCAACAACCTGGCCTCAGGCTGGTGATCTGTAATAGTGCCTGTCATGCCCCAGAGCCTCTACAATAGCCAAACCCAGCCCCAGTCTCAGTAATGATCAGAACAGGACATTGCCCATCTTCCTGAAATCACTGGCTGTGCTCCTACACATGCAAATTTCTCAGTGCTATTAATATCTTGGTGTTTGACTCCACCCTACTGAAAACATCTGAGTCTTAGCACCACAGAAATGAGGAAAAGTAAAGAGAGCAAACACACAAACCAGAACCTCTGTAGAGTTCAAGACTTACTAACTTACAGATGGGAGATGATGGGAAAGCCTATAAGGAAGCAATAAGATCAAAACCTTCCCTGAGAAAGGCAGCAACTACCTTGTGAATGCACAAGGTGAATAGAAGGTGAATACAGGATGTAAGCGTATTGGCTTTGGGAAGAGGTGGCCTGGGTTAGAATCAAGCTACCTGTTGCTTTGACCCCAAGACCAACTAGAGAGAGAAATTAAAAGCAGAAAAAGGTGGTACCCTTATCTAGCACCTTCTCCAAAGCACCTGTCTTGAGCACCTGGTGATGAGGAGTGCAACTTCTAATGACCTACACTAATGACTCTTCATGAATCATCTGAGCCCATGCTATATTAGCATTTAAGAGACTGCCTCACTTGTGCTCACTGAAGTCCCACAGGTGTTCCCAGCTGTCCCCATCCCCTCACACACCTGTAGAAGGAAAGATTCCTCTCTGTGTGGGTCCAATCTTCCCACCTCCTTTCATGCGTCCAGTCAGAATCTCCCTGTTCTCTATATCCTGCATCAAGACAAGACAATCATCTGAGCTTGGAGGGACGGACTTCACAGAGAGATAGCCAGCATATCTCAGCTGTGCTGAGGCAGAGCAAACAGGCAGAGGGATGCTTGAGGGACATAGGGACAGGAATGCCTCAGAAGTTAAGAGGGACTTACTGGCAATCTGGAGCCTTGCTGCAGGACAGTGCTGAAGAGATCATCCACGTAGTGATCCAAGCCTACAGGGGTCCTCAGGTCATCTCTGAATCTTGGATCTAAGAGCAGAGAGAAGTCTGGTGAGAAGGCAGGTAAGGAATATTCCCCTGCCTTCAGTCCCTGTTAGACAGTCGTGTTCTGGACTTCCTTGCTCTACATCAAGAAGAATCACCCTCTGCTCTGATCTGGCCTTTCAAGTGCCATCCGCAGTCCCGGGCAAGAGCTTACCTGGATGGAGATTGTTGAATTCTGGAGGCAGGCTAGGTGGTGGGAAGGTAGGTGCCTGGATGCCTGGAGCAGGAGGGATTCTGTTGAAGAGGAGAATGACATAACAACAGTACAGAGGACAGTGCTGAGAGAAAGGCAAGCCACTTGGTGACAGGGCCAAAAGTGATGGGACAGCAGCATTAGGTGACTTACAAAGCCAGGTCAGAGTTCTGGAGGAAGCTTCTGTCCCTTTCAGGAGTGATGGGGTACTCAGCTGAGGACTGAGAGGGGCTGCTGGGCTCCTCCATCTCTCCAATGAGGTCCAGCACAAAGTCACAGCCCAGCAGGTCCTGCCATGTGTTGCCAGTAAACATGGAGATAGACCACCCTCGAGACTTCTTATCACAGCCCCTGGTAACAGGGAAAGCAAGGAGAGAAAATGTGTCCAGGTAGGCAGGGGAAAGAGAGAGAAAGGAAAACACTGGATTTGGTTTCTTCTTGCCTTGTCTATCCTGGCTTAAGTTGTTATGATTTAGGGTGTGAATTAACTATTAAGTGTCCAGGGCCAGGAAAAAACTAGAATTACTCAAGATATAGCCTCTTTTTGTCTTTCTGCCATTTTTTCTCTGAAGCTGCTCTGACAGATTATGGCAGTGATTGCTCTAAAGAGACCTGCAGCTTATGCACACAGATGGAAGGGTGAAGGGGAGATGACAAGCTGGAGTGGGTAAAAGTGTGGCTATTCCACAGCTAACCATTTAAATTCTAGCCTGCAGCCCTGACCAGTCTCAACCTTAGAAGTAGTGTCAGCCTCTTTCACACCCCCGGATCTTCTCCCATCCTCTGACAGTACCTTGCACTCAGGATCCAGCCTGCATACTGCTCCCCAGTCATCCAGGACTCCACCTCAGCTGAGAACTTCTCCTCTAGCACAGAAAAGAATGTTAGTACACACAGCCTGCCCAGCAGGACCCAAAGCAACACCTAAGCTCAGCAGGACACAAGCAAAGCCCAGCTGGTGTCCTGAATGGGGGGGAAACACATGGAGGCTCTATCTGAGCACATTTACATCCAGAATAACTGTTTGATGGCACAGGTTGGCATTTCCAACCTGGCAGTTGAAAACCCTTGTAGTGTCCTTAGGGAACCAAGGAGCCAGAGTAGGGATATTCTGCATTCAGTTCAGAGATCACTCAAGAGGCACCATAAGCCACATGTGAGAAGGCAGAAAGGCAGAAAGACCCTGGAACAGAGGCAGCAGTTGCTGCCTTGCAGTAAAAAGTAACAGGAAAACTAGACTCATAGAGATACACAACCAGAACATCCCTCTGTTAAGACGGGCACAAACTCAGAGGAATCTCATCCCAGGCTTTGGGAGTTTTGAGTCTAGATTCAGATGCTTAGGGTCTAGAAGATAGTTGAAGGGCAGAAGCACGAGTTACCATTAAAGGTATGAACATCCAGCACCATCTTCCCCTTCCTCTGGTTCGCAATCCACTCCAGCTGAGTGGGAGGGTAGGCCCGAGAGACCGTAGCGTCTGTCTCTGTGAACTGGGCTGCTGTCAAGATCTTGCGCTGGCAGACAGCATTGTAGCCCTCCATGCCATGATCTGACACAAATCTAGGAAAAGACAACTGCATTTAGCACAGTGCTCATCTCTCAGCCTTACTGAAAGCTTAGCCAGGTCTTTTCTCCTCCTTACTTCAGCAGTGGCTTCTCCAGCGTTGGGGAAGGAGCAAAGCAGCTCAGCAAAGTTGCCATCAGGACCCATGCTCGCTGGCTGCACTCCATGTCTGGGTTTTTCCATGTCTGGGCAGCCACCTGGCTGAAGATTTCATTGCGCAGAGCCACATTGTTCAAACCTCTCCCAGCAATGTAGTTGCCCAGAAGCATCTCCTGCCAGCCATGGAGATTCCTGTCACCAATGAACCGCAAAATCTAGAGGTATCCAGGGGAAAAAAGAGAGAGCTCTGGCTGTAAACCTCGGTCACAAACTGTGTTGTAAGGTGACATATTCAGTTCCTAATTGGGTTATAGACACAGGGTGTTTGTGAGCCTAAGAACAGCAGCCAGCACTCAGATTGAGATCTGAGTTTTTCTCAGGTTTTGTGCATCACCCAAGGTTTGGGAATCTGGGGGCAATGTTCATAGAGATCGGACCCTGGTTAAAAGTCAGGCTGACTCCAGCCTCTTCTCAGATATGCCTCTGACTCAGAATTTGTTCTTGGGCAAAATACTTCCTCTTCTTTAGGCAGAGTTCAAGTACAAAAGCAAGTTACTGTAGGCTCTTTGTTACTGTGTCTGAGCCCACAGGCTGCCCAGCTGTGAAAAAGAAGTTGATGCTTAGCTGAGCTTGGTGAAAAGCTGAGAAAGCCAGACCTGAAGAAACACTAACAACTGAATGTTGAAAAGACTTTGGTGTAGTTAATATTATACCAAATGGTATGAGATGTGGCATCCCAACAGACTCAGGCAGTGATTCATCTCCTTGCCTATGCATATCAGCATCTTAGAATCTTTTGTAATTTATATTTCTCACCCTTCAGACAGAGTAATTTTTTTCACCTCATTATGTCATTAGATTCTTTTATTTTAATTTTTTTTCCCCCAAAATGTGCCATAGACAGCTTTGGAAAGAGCACTTATGATGATGGCCTATCTTTTTCTCAGAGAACAACACTTCTTAAAAGAGTTAGTAACCTAATGGTATTAATTTAATGGTAGTAGTCATGTCAGGGATCCACTGCGAAAAGCAGGAGATGGCGGTTGTTTAATTCTCATGGAATTCTTTGTATTATAGCCCTTGCCAAAGAAACAGCTATTTTATTCTTTTTGCTAGCGATGGATAAAATCTATCTTCAATCTTCAGGAAAAATAAGAGTAGTCTGCTTAAACACAGTCCTGCTCATGAGATTTCAATGCAGCTTGTGCTCTTCTATAATTATGATCACTGGGACAAAACAAGAGCCTGGGTTTAGGTATTACCTTTCCTAACGTGCTGATCTGACTTATGTGTAATTGTCAAAAGGACTGCCAGATTCACTTAGAAATCATCTGAAGTTTCATTCTGTTTTCACAGTCATCATTACCATTTTTAAGCAGAACTGTGTGTTTCAGAGAGATAACACCACCCCTCTCACATAAACACTACAGCATTAAGGGTGTGGTTCCAGGTGTAGCTCTCCTCGTGACACAGTCCCTGCCTGTTTCCAGCCTTTATCCAACAGTTCATTGTCCCTTGTTGTGTACTGTCACAACTGTCTAACGAGATATAAGTAACATGTTTGCTATAAGCCACATCATGGAGAAGATCTGGGTTAAATTTAACTTTTTTATGACTGACAGATAAAAAGGGTGCTAGAGAAGACAGATCTCTTATACTCTCAATGCTACTGAATCTGGAATATTGGGAAACTAAGGTTTAGCACTCTAATTCCTGTATATTCTGCCAAATTCTGAGGCTAGCTCACCAGGCAATTCACTTTGATCCTACAGACCTGTGGCTGGTCTATGCCTCACCAAGAACACAGCAACCCTAAGTGTCTGACTGATCTCTGCCAGACTGCTTGAGTGCTCAGAAGAGCAATTTATTCTGCTCTCCTCACATACTGTGTTTTGTGATTGTAGCCACCACCAGCATCTTGATGTGTAAAGGCTTCAAAACATTGTCTTACGTTCACCTGTTCTTCAACAAGGCCCTTATCAAGATAGATAAGAGTCACAGAATCTATCTAATATCTATCCTATCTGATATCTATCCTGATATCTATCCTACCAAAGGAAGGGACCTTAAAGCTCCTCCAGCTCCAACCCCTGCCACAGGCAAGGACCCCTTCCACTGGAGCAGCTTGCTCCAAGCCCCTGTGTCCAACCTGGCCTTGAGCACTGCCAGGGATGGGGCAGCCACAGCTTCTCTGGGCACCCTGTGCCAGCGCCTCAGCACCCTCACAGGGAAGAGCTTCTCCCTAAGAGCTCAGCTCAGTCTCCTCTCTGTCCTGTCCCTACAGGCCCTTGTCAGAAGCCCCTTTCCAGGTTTTTTGTTGGCCCTTTTAGGTATTGGAAGCCTTCTCTTCTTCTGGCTGAGCAAAATCTCTCTTACCAGTTTGTTGATCTCAAGCGCACTCTCCTGATGCTCAGCATCCAGATGGGTTAAGGGGTGCTGCAGCGGCTGGCCAGGGGGTGGGAAATATGTCTTCTACAAAGAAACAAAAGGACAGAAGTGCAGAGTTTGTTCCTGGTGTTGCTAGAACTTGTGTATCTCCCCAGTGAGGAAGCAATGAAGAGACACAGAAAAAGTTCCCACCTGAAAGTGTGACTTAATGAAGGAGGAGAAAGGATAGCTGTTGATGGTCGGTGGGAGGGAAAGATCATCTTTGACCTTGATTTCAGGAGACAATGCCTCAGTTATCTGGCTGGCCTGTGCTCGGTATTGACCTGCAAGAGAAAGAGCTCCTGTGTTGTGGCATTTGGAAAGGCAGCCAGAGCTTGCCATGCAGCACATGGCTAACATGCATCTAACTTTGCCCAAGCACCTGTACCAGGCCCCTGGCTCCAGGCTCCCCCAGTCCACCCTGATGCCTCAGACCCCTCGGCAGGCACAGCCTCACTTCCTTGAGACTACAAGGCCTAACTTCAGGAGAGCTTTTACAGCTCTGAGCTTTCAGAGTCTTATCTCTTGGTAACACCCAGAGGGCAGTCAGCGCCTGCAGTTTCAACTCTGTTAAGCAGAGTTTACAAGCAAGAAACACTGAGCCTGTGCAGAGATACTGCTGACAACTGTTCAGTCAACAAGTAAATGAGAGATCTTCAAGCTGAGGCAGTGTATAAGGGGCTTATACTGGATAATAGAGGAGCAAATGCCTTCCTACTTGGAGGGATTTCTCAGTGCTGCACAGCTTCTGTGCATTTCTCAATCTCCAAACCAATGTGTCCCCCTGATGCTGTCCTCATCTCTGCTGTTTATATCCCATCTGCTTTCATTTTCATCAGTTTTAGTGTGTTTTTTTCCTGAGCTACTCTAGGTAACATGCTTACAAAACCAGCTGGCAGTCCCTAGAGGGGTATGCCTTGAAGGATGTGGTATTTGGGTATCCAACAAAGTCTGCTCCAATTGACAACACTCTTCTGCCTGATTGTGTCTTTTACTGTCCTATATATAGAAGGCCAAAGACACAGCTGTCATTTTGTTAGATGCTATCCTAATATAAAAAGGCAGATACTGCCTCAACCTATGTGCAACTCGAAGACACAGGTTGTGCAGAGTTACAGAGGAAACAAAACTGCAGATAATTTAATGCTCAAGATCAGGTCAACAACTTAGGAAATTATTTCAATTAGTGGTATTTTGGCAATTCGAAAACAAACAAAAAAACTTTCCATCCCCAGTAAAATATTTCCTTTGATGTTACATCTTAATGTGGTTGCCCTGTTTCTACCTACTTCTACGTTTAAAAGTAGTTACTTTTGAAAAAGTAATTTTGAATGAAAACCCAAAAATGTTTCTTCGACAGTGCCAAAATTGTACTTTTGACTTCTTCACCTTCAATTTCCTTAAAGATTTTTGAGTAGAAAAAAGATGGGCTTAAGCTCTGCAAGAGACCAGCTTGCTGTCACACAGCCCTGACCAATGGCAATCTCTCTCATCAGTTCTACCAGCAGAGCTCATAAGAGGAGCCAAAAAGGTAACAGAGATATTGAATTTTAATCTAGAGTTCTGCTCACTGGCCTGAGTTGCTTTTCCACCCTGTGGTGTTGGGAAACAATATACTCACCACCATTTGCCTTTAACATATTTGCACTGAAATAACGGTAACTCAGATACCACCCAGGTGACAGGCAGGAGGTAGAGCAAGCACATAGTTAACTGCTAGAAAACAAGGAAATAAACTAAAACAGCGCAGGAAAGGGAGGGAAGGAGGGAAGATTCCTTACCTTCAGCTACCTGTAGGAGGGCAGCAAGCTCTGCAGGGATCTCCAGAAGCCCCGCATCCTGTACAGAGAGTGAGCAAATCAGCCACTGGGGTACCAGTGAAACAGCACGTGAACCCTGACTTCTGTTGAGACTGGGCAAAGCTGCCTTTGCAAAAGTGGCCAGAACAAGTACTGAGCATTTGAGCAAAGCCAGTGACTTCCACCTATGCAACATTCGGAAGCATTACAAATAGGGCAGTGTGTTAATATACAAGTATATGACACAGGTCTGCAAAGGAGAGAAAGGTGGGTAATTTCCAATTAAATCAACTACCACAAGGGGAAATTATAGGAAAGTTTGCTTTCTTTGACTCATTTGACTTTCTTTGATTCACCTCATCACTAGCAAGATTGGTATATTGTGTAGAAGAGACTGCAGGGGGAGGGTAAGAGCCATTTCCTCCTGCTCTTTTTTTCTGCCATTTTTATTTTTCAGTCTTCAAGAGCACTACAGCATAAATAAAGACCTGATTCTGATCTTTGATGCACACCACTATTTTGGAGGTTCCTTAAGGAAGCTCAGGTATGTACCTGGGTAAATAAAATGAGGAGCTGGCCAATAAGCCTTGATTTTTCACTGGCTTTCACCTTGCACAGTGCATGCATTTGTGCAAGGTAGTAAGTAAATGGGCCAGGGGAGCACAGTTCATCAGCACCAGTGTCTGCATATAACATCAGGGCATTTCAAATGGGCTACTCAGATTAAGACACAAGGAAACCAAACCAAAGACACAAAGCCTGAGATCTGGGGGGTCTGGGTTTTGTGGATTTCAATATCTCATAGTAAAGCCTTCCCTCACCAGCATACTATTCTGACATCTCCACATAAACCCTTAGCAATGCCTAAAGGCAGATTCATGGCTTTTTTGATCAGTTTGATATTGCTTCTAAGAAGATACTTGACATTAAGTCTAGCTTTTCAATGGCGTATTCAGGAAATGAGCTTCTGACTGTCCAGAGCCCTGAATTCACACCTGAGAAAGCAGGCAATATTGCAACACCATCCAGTACTAAGTATTCCCATTGTTGTTACTGATAAATCTGGGATTTGGAGTATGTCAGTTCACATTTCATAGAATCATGGAATCATAGAATAGTTAGGGTTGGAAAGGACCTTAAGATCATCAAGTTCCAACCCCACGTTCCTTGTGTACACGCATCATAGCAAATGTATGCCTGGTTTAAACATACAAATAATATTAGTTATCAGTAATACTTACAGCAGTTGATACAGCTTAAACTTGTTACGAAGCCTTTAATGCCTCCCTTCCTCTAAAACACCTTTCATAGATGTTTTTGTCCAGAACTGTCTCATTCCCACCTTCACAGTAGAAGATGATTATCAAAACTAGTCTTCCTTCCAGCTCCAAAGACCAGTTCCAGGGCTGCGAACACAGTACTCTGCCTCAGGACCACTTTGTGATGCCTGACTATGCTCAAAGATTGGGAATCACTGAACTACTGAGATAGTTTTTATTAGAAGGCTCTTTATACCAGGCTAAGCCCTATTTTTGCTGCTAGGCTTCCAGCACACATGCGGGCTCTGTTCCCCAGCAGACACGGGCATAGGGGAGGGAGAACATTCTGAGTACCTGTCTTGGTCTATCTCCAACTCTCCATAACTGTCTGACAACTTACCATTCTTTGGTTGGGACTGTCCTCTGTGTCACCACTGGCCAGGGACCACCTCCGTTGTTTCCTTTCCTCTAATTCCTGCTGTTAGGAGGTGAAAGTGAGATGGGGGTTAGGAAAAGATGTGTACAAGGTCACTTCCAGCTACTTCTGGGGATACACCCTGTGGATGGGTGAGCACTGGTGTCCTGCTCCAGGAGATAAACTGACAGAAGAGCTGAAGGGCCTTCTTGGGACTCACCGCAGTGTATTGAGAAGGGGATGCCCAGGCAAAGCTTTTAGCTTTGCTGAAACATCACCTGCCCACACAACACTATTCAGCAGCAAGAGACATCACCACGTCCAGCATCTCTGCCACACCTTTCCTCCCTTGCCTAGCATCTGGTGTGTCTCAAGACAAAAGCACACAGGAACATTCACTTGTCTCCTCCAGCATCCAAGAACATGGTAATGCAGCCCGGGCATGGATGGATGAACTTGTCCATGGGTGTGTGAGTTACAGCCATGTCCAAGGCTGTAACACCCTTACAGCTCTGCCCTTTCCTATCCCATCCCATGTCCTACTCACCTGATTCCTACTCCGAGATTAAAAAGGAGGGTCTCTGTCTCTCTCTCTCTCTCTCTGTCCTGCTTGTCTGTGTTGCAGAATGGTGTGACAGGATGGGAGGTTATGAGGGCTGGGCTGAGAAAGACAGAAGGCATGCTGAAGTCCAAAGGGCAGGGCTGTGGGGCAGGGGAAAGGAGGAACTTTGCAGCAGGTGAACTTTGAGACCTTTATTGTTGCTACTGCATGTACAGAGACCTCAGCAAGCAAACACTGGAGAAACAGGAACAGATTCAAAAGAGCTATGCTATCATGGTTACCCGGGAGAAAGAAAAGCTGGATCCTGTCCAAGTAGGAGGGGGCAGGAAGAGGAACAGAAACAAGCACTGCTTTGGGCAGGGCATGGCCTGGCAAAAGGAACCTGTGCAGTTTTCCAACAGCAGCACTGACATTAACTGCCTCACCCTTTGCTGGTCATGCCAGCAGCTGTACTGCCCCCCCTGCCCCATAAGGCTGACAGCTATGGGGATGTTAGTTGCTGCTGTAGGGACAAGTGGTCTGAGTTCCTGATTTAAATTTTGTTTTTAATAGCTTGTGCAAAATGCATTCAATCCATTTGACAGAACCAGCTTTCTCCTCACACAATTTCCCATCTTCTTAAGTCACTGCCATCCTGTTCTTACCCCAACTACAGACCCAAAAGGTTGATTTCCAAAAGGCCTAGGACTTCAGCAGCCTGAGGTACCTGTAGGGTCAGGGAAGGATCACTGCAGACTGAAAAAAATGCTTTTCAGTCACTGGGAAAACACCAGAAACTGAACTGGACAACTAGAAGAGCAAGATGAATGACTCCTGATAGATTGAGCAGAACAGCAGCCACAGATGGAATAAGCTCATGTCTTGTGTGGAGCAACCTAGAGAAGCTCAAGTAGAGACATAGGAACTGGATGCAATTGGAACTACCTTTGCCAATTCATCCAGCGAGAGAAGGCTTCAGTCTCTGTGGTTTTTTTACTTTCTTTATGTCAGAGTGAAGGCCACCTTCTTGGATCATTTCCAGGAACTTGTCTAGAGCCATCCCTGCCCTTGGTCCCCCCCAGTCACCAGCTCTTGTCTAACTAAGAGCAGAAACAGCTCCTGCAGTACAGCTGATCCTGAGAACAGCGTTGTTACCTGTCAGTGTTTCCTCTTTTTAATCAAAGATCTGGAGAGTAAAATCATGGTATTAAACTGCACCAAGGTCTTCTTCAGCTTCCTGTAATGTTTTTTAGAGGGATGTGAAAAGAGAAGAGTTGTTAATGAGGGAAATATCAACTAAATTTAGACAGACTGTTGACTCACTTCAAAGATATGGACCAAACAGACCATTAATACAATCAGCAAGTCTTGATTTGGTCTTACTCTGCTAAGCCTCGTCCTCTCTTGGCTGTTTCCCCTGCATCCTTTACTCCAGCTATCACAATATCAGCCTTAGCACAGGCACATTACTGGAATGGTTTTGACAGCAGCTGTATTTTCCCTGGAACCTCTGCTCAGTTTTGGGAACCAGGCAGGGAAGTCCCTTCACCATTCCAGTAACAGGATATTCCCTGCAGACCAGATCAGGAGCCACCATGAGGAGGGGCCTTGCCACCCACCTTGCTGTCCTAGGTGAACATTTACTGCTGCTGCAACTTACATTCAGTAGGCTGAAAAGCTGCTGTCAAACCAAAGGCAAAAATATCTAATACTTGGGCAAACACAATCCCTATTCAATCTGTATAACTGCCTCACCATAACCATACTGTGAGAGGGATCACGTAAGAGGATAAGAGCTTCTCACCTGAGTCAGTGAAGTTTGGTTATCCAGGATGTACAAGATGCCATGGTTTTTTTTTTCCAGCAATGACATCTAGGCATGACTCACTGTACATCTTGGAACTAGGAATCCAAGCTAACTGCTGTTGTCTATATTCCTCCTGCATGTTAAAAAACAACCAGTCAAATCCAGCCATGCAAGCAAGAACAAATGGAGGGGTTTGGTTTATAAATCAGAAAGTTAGTGCTTCACTGCTGTTGGGAATTTGCCTAGAATTATCTGGTTTTGTCTTGCGAAACGTCTTCTAAAGCCATTGATGATTTTCCTAATTTAAGAGATGAAAGCTGCTAAGGAGAGCAATAAAGTGAACTGCAAAAGGCAGCAAGTCTGATAAATATCTCCAGGATATGAGTGATACATAAAATGCTATAATGAATCTACCAAACAGGTTTTAAAAGTACGAGGTGAGGTCTGGGCTCCTTGATCCTCATCAACTCACTTATAAAAGAGGGAGCAAGGCACTAACAAACTACCCTTCTTTTAATCTACTACAGAATTAGTAAAAGGTATTTGATAGCTAGTTCTTTGGTCTAGGATTCTGTGGGTAGTGCTTAAGAGGGCCAAGCCTATTCAGCATCCTTCTTCCCCACTAAAGAAGACTCTCCAGCTGAGGCCACCTCAGCTCATTCTGTATGTGCTGCCATTCACCTTTTGGCGTGATTTCCTGGACAACAGCAGTCTGGCTGGAAAAAACACGGGAGATGTTCACTGGTAAAGTTGATGCAAAGTTGCTCTAAGCTATTCACGCCCAAATCCTCCTTAAACCCTGCAAAGACAAAAGGGCATCATCAGCTCCAACTCCAGCCCTCCCAGGAGGCCGTGCCTTGTGAATAATGCACAGCACCAGATGGCGCTGATCTGAGCTCCTGACTTAGGCAACTTGTTCTGATCAGTGTGAATGAACCTGAGCAATTCAAACCGTCTGGTGTCTAGTTTGCAAGCTCTCAGACTGGTTATTGACTAGGCTGAACATTAGGAGGCAAGACAAGCTGCAAAGGAGGACAAAGAAGATGAGATCTGCTCTTGGATGAACACCTCTACCTGTATATATTCCATTGTTTTCAGCATTCATCAGAACACGTAGATTTTAACAGAAATCCTAAGTATAAAACTCAAAGATCACTTTATGCCCCTGCTCTGCCTGGTTTTTACTTACCACAAGTCTGAGGAGTCCCCAGAAGCTCGCTGGGTCAGAGCCATGGGTGTCTGTGTGCTACAAGGGTAATGATTCCTGGTCCAGAACCGTAGGTGCTACCCTCACCTCAGTTTCAAAAAGTAACAGCTTTGTTTCGGTTATCCGCAGTTCTCCTCTCTCTAGCCTGATACAAAGCCTAGTGGATCAGGAAGAATCTCTTCAGAAACATCAGTGGATTCTGGGCTTGTCCCTGTTCAGGCTGGGAACAACAGAAAAACAGGATATGCCAAAGCATGTGAAAACAAATAAATTGTAAAAGATGCTGTTACCGTATTTCCAGCTTTATCCAAGTCTTGAGGAAGAAATGGGAACAGTTAGATTAAAACTACATTACAAAATGGTTTTCTTCTATTAGTAATAGCAACACAAATAATAACTAAAACGTGATCCATTAAGAATTAGCTCACGCAGCTCACCTCATCAGCACAGCATGGTCAAGCTAAGTTTTTTTCTGGGTTTGGTCCATCAAAACAGGGCAATGAGGGATGCGGGTCCCCAAGCCACTGCTGTGCAGCAGAGCACAGCAGGGAGAGGCCCCTGGCTGTGTATGTTTGTGTGTAAGTGAACATTTTAAGAAACATCTGTCAAACCACCTTAAGGTGAGAATGAAACCATGGAGTTAAAATCCCCATGTGTCCTTTCAACATCACATGTAGCTTGGTTTCTAAACTCCAGTGCGCTTGCTGGAAAGCCAGTTTTGATCCGTGTTTAGCGCAGCATAGGAGCTAATTCAGTAGGCCAAGTTGGATGAAAACACTGGCTTTGTTCTGATTTAAAACCAAATTGTTTTCCTCTTCCTTGAAATGACAGAGCCAAAGCTAGCTGTGTGCATTATCTATATGCAGCACCAGTTCATGCAAAAAGTATTAAACCTGCAAGGCTGACATAGTGGGATTACCAGAAACCATCCTATCTGAGACTAGGCTGTGAAGTGCATAACAATTGTTAGGGCTCCACCTACACACCAATGCTACCTGCAGTCCACCCCACCCTAGGACCTTAGGAGTCTACCTATGCTACACAGTCAGGGAAGACTATGGGCTCCTCCAGATAGCAATTCATAACAAGAATGTACAGTGGAAGTGTCAAATCACACCCTGAAGGAGCACTTTTATACTGCCTCTGAAAGTACTCCCCTGAACAGATACCTACATTACATGGTAAAATTACCATCTCTTCACTGGAAAAACAAACAAAACATAACCAGAAAGCCCACCCATCAGATACCCTCCCCTTTCTGGCAACGGCTGAGGAGAATCAGCACCTGCACTACCTGCATTTGCAGCCCAGACAACACCAAAGAATAGGAAAAGCAACCTCAAACCCATGTATGCTCACAGCACAGTCTGGTTCCCAGGGAGCCAACCACTCACTGATCTGTAGAACAGGCATTCAAAGAGCAGGTAATACAGAGTCTTTGCAGTGGAGTCTCTGAGTAGAAGAAGGGAGTAAACCTAGTTACTGCACAGACAGCACCCGTGGGTGCATCTCACCAACCCAGACAACAGAAGTCGCCTGCCATCAGTGTACCCCTCTGCAGACAGAGGGGTGAAGATCCAATCATAAGGTCACTGGATTCATAAGGAGCCAGAATATACTGTTGTTATCTCACAACTACACATACAGTTTTCAAATAGACAAGGAATTCAGCCTGGTTAATAAATGGTGGTTTTTGTTGTTTTTTTTTTTTCTACTTGGCCTGAGAATTTACCCATGTATGAAAGGAAGGAGTAAAGTGAGAATTTTGTTGCCATGTTTCAGGGTGGGAATCACAGAATCCCAGCCTGGTTTGGGCTGAAGGGACCTTAAAGCTCACCCAGCTCCAACCCTTGCCACGGGCAGGGACCCCTTCCACTGGAGCAGCTTGCTCCAAGCCCCTGTGTCCAACCTGGCCTTGAACACTGCCAGGGATGGGGCAGCCACAGCTTCTCTGGGCACCCTGTGCCAGCGCCTCAGCACCCTCACAGGGAAGAGCTTCTGCCTAAGAGCTCAGCTCAGTCTCCCCTCTGGCAGGTTCAAGCCATTCCCCTTGCCCTGTCCCTCCATCCCTTGTCCCAAGCCCCTCTCCAGGTTTCCTGCAGCCCCTTTAGGCACTGGAGCTGCTCTAAGGTCTCCCTGGAGCTCAGCCTGTCTCCATAGGAGAGTTAGCTGGCCAAAGTGCTAAGCCTGAAGCCACCTCATATCAAAAAAGAGCCCCCCTAGAGGTGACGATCCAGCACAGCAATCATTTCACTCCTGTTACCTCCCAGATTTTGGACCTTCCAAGGTGGTGGCCCTTCTGACAGAGCGCCAGCTAGAACATTCTATGCTTCAGGATGAATGGGAAATCACCAAAAAGGTACTCACAGTGACACGGTGAGTGACAGCACTTTACAGACTTTTGAAATCTGCTGCAACACACAACAAATGGGCCACAGTCTGAATCTCAGTCACTGGCAATGGCTGAATGTTCATATGATTCTTTCTAAATGATGGAGAACAATAGATTCAACTATGAATGGGATGCTAAGTTCCACTGGTATCAGCTCCCCAGCTGCACAGAGCTGGTCACAGCCTGGGCAAAACAACAGCATCTAGGCTCATTTTAGATCCTCAAAGAACTACTGTAACAGATGGGAACCTATTTGAGGGTTGATTCCCTCTCGTGACTGAGAGGCATAACAAAGTATGTTTGTGTCACAGTGTATTCAGTAGAGTACATATGTGTATGTTCATGGTGACTGTTTGTCAGAAAGAGGCAGGAAAATATGAGGGTGCAGCTGTTCTGTGAGCTTCCCATGGGCACGCCGGGGCGCCTGGCCAACGCTCTTGGTGTGGCCAACACTGAGATGATGAGAAACGGCAGGGCCTCACGAGTAAACAGTGGCAGAGCTGGCATGAAGCTCATCGTGTTTCTAAGGGTATAAAAGCAGCAGCCTCTTATAGCCAAATCCAAGGCCTCAGATTTGGGTGGACACACCGCGTAGGAACGTTCCCAGTTACCTGAGACCCCCAGCATCAGCTGCAATGGGGCTTCCCAGCTGAAGTGGTTGCCTGGAGGATGGTTTGGTGGTGACTGGTAATGTATTTCTTCTTACTCTCTGTTCTCTCTTTGCAGTATTGATTTGATCCATTGCTAATCTTCATTTTTACTTTACTTTCATATATCACATATATATATATATCTGAATTTGCTTTACTGTACTTATTTACCATATGTAGGTACATACCCAATTCACATTAGTGTGCTTCTTTGCCTTAGTGTTCTTGTTTTATAAACTGTGTGTATTATACAGCTAGTGTTTGGTCATTTTGTTGCCTGCCCTGCCTATCAGCAGAACAGCCACCCAAGCTGTAATAACCCTTTGTTGCCTCCCATCTCCTGTGCCTCTCTAGGTCAGTCTAGGCTCAAACATTATAAGAACAGAATGATACCATTTTCACTCAAGTATAGTGTCCCCAGTTCCATCATGTGGGATAATAGCAGTGTTAGAATCATGGAGCGGTTTGTGTTGGAAGGGAACTTAAAGCTCCTCCAGCCCCAACCCCTGCCATGGACAGGGACCCCTTCCCCTGGAGCAGCTTGCTCCAAGCCCCTGTGTCCAACCTGGCCTTGAACACTGCCAGGGATGGGGCAGCCACAGCTTCTCTGGGCACCCTGTGCCAGGGCCTCACTACACAAACAGCCCATTCCCGAGCTGCCAAGGGTTAGCGAACCTCACAGGAGGCAAAGCAAATGCTCCCAGCTGCCGAGGGCAGCCAGCACAGCCCAGGTAGAGGACAGCTGATCGAGACGCTGATTTCCCCCAGAGCTTGCACCAAGACCAGACAGTGCTTGCTGTCCTCCTTCCCCACGATGGGGGATGTCACCTGCTTTGCCCTGAGAGAATAGGGACAGATAACTGTGGTCAGCCCTTCTTGCCCCAGACTGGAGCTAAGCTACTAGCAGCAATCTTCGAAGCAGTAGTTCAATGATTTATGGACTGGAGAAATCTGAACTAAAAAGACCAAAGACGCCACTAGTGGGAGCTCAGCATTCACGACAGGCCAGCCTCTTCCCTCTGGAGCTCTCGAGAGTAAGATCTCACTTGCCAACATATCGTTTTTATTACGGTATAGGCACCCTAGCTACTCCTTGCCCACTGCTGGACTGCAGCTTGAGAAAAGAAGGGATGTCAGAATCTACTCCCAAGTAAGTCATGTCAGAGCTGTTACTCCAAATGATACCAGAACCCAATGTATCAAAGCCAGTGGATTTCTGTGCACCTTGAGAGCCACCCTGGGTTATAGTCCCACTCACCTCTGCCAGAGCTTCACTACAACATAGACATATCACTCCTATTCTTCTTGTGCTTTTCTCTACAAGAGGACACTCGTAACAGCAGTCTGTGACCCTGAAATCCTGGGTCAAGGGAGCCTGTCGAACCTGTTTGTGTACAAGGACATTCTTTGACAAAAGTTTCCAGCTGATGGCCAGATTCAGAT